GCCAGCAATAGAAAGTAAGAGAAAGAGGGGCTAGAGCAATGGCTCGGTGGGTGAAGCTCTTGCCATTCGAGCCTGAACCTGAGCTTGAATCCCCAGAGTCGCTGTCCCAGAGGGACGGAATCTATGACCAATCGTAATGGCAGGTAGCTGGCAGCAGGCAGAGTGCTGGAGCAATAGCTGAGTACTCACATCTGATCTACAAGCACGTTGCAGGTGTGGGGATCACTGGGAATGGAGGGGGTGTTTGAAACCTCAAAAGTCTCCCTCAGTGACACACCTCCTCCAACAAGGACACACCTCCTAATCTTTCCCGAATAGTTCTACCAAGGGAGGACCAAGTATTCTAACATATGAGCCTATGGGGGGCCATTCTCATTCAAACCAAACCACCAACAACTAGCCTGGTCTAGCCTGGTCTATTCAACTGCAAACAACAGGAGACTTTGTCTCAAACAAGGTAGAAGGCCAGGGCCAACACTGTCCTCTGACCTCCACCATATATACTGTGGCATATGTGTGCCTCTATTTACATACATGGGTGTACATGCACATACATCCTACACATATGCAAACAAGATTAAAAAGATAAATGGCAAAATAATCATTAAAACATAATGATAAGCAGACATTAGACAGATCACACTTGTGATCCCAGAACTTGGGAAATAGAGGCAGGAGAATTACTCTGAGTTTGATGCCAACAGACTACATAGTGATCTATGTACATGCACAGCATCCCAAGTCAGTCTGACATACAGCATGGGACCATGTATCAAAACAACAACAACAACAACAACACACACACACACACACACACACACACATACACACACACCACATGCATAAACATCCATACAATGAGAAAACAGCAACACTTGCACCTTGAAAGCAGAAATAAAAGCAATCACACAACTATAAAAATACATGTGAATGAACAAAATTCTGCTACTAGAACACAGAGAATTTCAAGATGAATGGAAAACTCAGTTCAACCACAAAGCACCAAAATTAGTGTGAATTCAAAAGTTAAAACATGCATAATAATTGTAAAAAGTAATAAGAACAAAAAGAAAATGCCAATAGAAAGTGTTTCAAGGAAAAATGGATAAAGTTGATTAATCAATGAAAGTTTCACTTCTTCTTCCACAGATTACATACAGAAAATTAGTAATTGGCTTGTAACTTTCTCACTCCTTCCTCCCAATGCCCTAGCCCCATGCTTCCCATGTTATGGTAACATTCACTAATTCACTGCCCTGCTTCTCAAGCTGGCCTGTTCTTCCTCTAGGGAGACATCTTCCAGAATCGTAGAAATGCTTCTCCAGGCTCAGTATCTGACTCAGTCTTACCCTAAAAATAGATTCGTTATTTCCAGGAAGGTATTTACTGTTGACCTATCTAACATGAACACACTAATTTATCCCAAATAGAAAATATTGGTTTAAATTTTTAATATCTCATAGAAAAATGAAAATATTATATCAACTAACAGCTTTTAAAATTTTTGTATAAAGCAAATTTAAATAAAAATGGCAAAATTTGGGAGGTCTATATTATATAAGACCAAATTGAGAATTCTTTTTAAGTAGAGAGATATTTTAGAGAGAAAAATGTGATACAAACTCTAGAAAAATCAACCAGGTGTCTATTTAAGTCACATCTCAAAAGAAGAATAGCTAGTGAATATTCAAATAGTGTTTCTAACAAGCAAATAAATACAAATTAAAACAGTATCTTTAAACTTTTGATTTTCAAATTTGTAAATTTTTTTAATATTATAAGATACAGTGATGGCTAAGATGAAATGAATTGAAAATTCTTGTGCTCTAGTTGCTGGCGGCAGAAGTACAATTATCCAAACTTTGGGGAAATTAGTACAAATTTTTGGGAATGATAACCCCCAAATCACTACTCATTTACTGGAAAATTTCACCAAATGTTAAGTACTGTGTACATAGCACATAGACTCTGACAGCTCCTTTTTATGTGTTTCTTATGCCAAGCGTCGTTCTATGTGTTCCTCACAAATATGGAGTTATTTTTCTGGTATTACTTTTCCATTTCATAGGTTAAGAAGAACCGGAGAAAGGATGCAGAAGGCTGTTTAAAGGCCCTTTAGTAATGACCTTTCTCATCGCTATGAAAACGAGCCGATAAAGGCAACTTGGGAAAGAAAAGGGTTTATGGAATCACGGTTTGAGCAGATGTTGTCCCTCACAGTAGGGAGGAAATGGTGGTGGGAGTGTGAGGGAGGAGGACACACTGTGTTCTCAGTCAGAGAGTAGGCAGCTGTGAAAGCTGGCACTCTTCTGTCTTCCTCCTATTCATTTCTTCTGCACCCTAAGTTCATGGGACAGTCTCACCCACAGTCACAGTGGATTTTTCACCCTCAGTCAGACCTTTCTGGGAAGACCCTCACAGAGACATCTAGTTGTCCTGCAGGACAGACTCATGCCTGGGGTTAGCAAAAAGGACTGTGAAAATTTGAGTGCTACAGTTGTTCAAACAAGAGATCCAGCAGTTTGACTTGGTCAGTAGATAGGGAGACATGGATGAATTTAACAAACACTTTGAGGAAATGATTGCCAAATAGAGATATGTGGGGGGAAGGAGAAGGCTAGAGTGCAATAATAATGCTCAAGTGTGATTAAATGGTGCCTGGGAGATGTCATTTATTGAGTAAGAATTCAGGTTTGGATACAGTAAGTTCAGATATTAAGAAGCATCCATTTGTAAGTTTCAGTGTGTCTAAGACCTTTTGGTGCAAGTAGTTGGATGTCCAGATAAGATGTACAATTTGGAATGAAGAATAGATGTATATTATTTCATATCATGGGAGTGGCTGATGTTTTCTGAAGTAGAAGATGGTTGGGCATTTGGGATGGCTGAGCCTACTTCTAAATCTGGAGGGTTCTCAAAAAAAAAAAAGAGGTCAGGTTGGGATTCAGAAGGAATAAGCAAGGGACAGAGCAAAAGGGACACTGAGAACCAGGAGGTAATTGGACATATAGGTTCTTCAGAACTGTGGTGTGATCATGAGAAATCTACGGTATGGCATGCTGTTCCATGATAGAGTGTTGTAGGCCTTTGCATGTAAGTGCTGCTGAAGAAATGAGCAGAGACGGCCAAAGAGAGGGAGTAAGAATGATGCCTTGATACCTTCTATGGGAAGGAAAGCTGGGAAGAGGAAAGAGGGAAAAGTAGATGGAAGGAAATTTAGGCAGTCAAGAGTTCTCTGGTGCTTGTGTGAATTTCACTTTAATACTGGAATGGACAGACCACTGGGAAGGACAGACTGAACTTGATCATATGTCTACTGGTAAGAAAGTTCTGCACAGTGGGTTTACCTCCCTTTGTGGCATGTGACCCAAACTATGAAGCCAACAAGTGAGTGGGATGCAGAGAGGGTATTCACACTTGGGTAATTTGGAAAAATAGAGAAGAAGTAATGTATAGAAATGGGGGAGGGCCTAGTGTTGCCAGAGAAATGGGGGTGGGCCTGTTGTTTTCTCAGGACTGTCAGTGGTAAAATGCTTGACTGCTTCCAGTTTTTAGCTAATTGTATAACATGGAAAAATGTCAACTGGGGACTTAGGTTGAACTTCCACCAGGAATTGCTGGAGAGAAGAAGGTAGTGGAGAACAGGTTTTTATTTTTTTATATAAACTTTGGTTGTAGGATGATGAACTGGCTCAGCAGATAAAAGCATTTGTCACCAAGCCTTTTGACCTGAGTTCAATTCCCAGGACACACATTGTGAAATGAGAGAACGACCTTCTCAAGGTGTATCAAGGGGATACACATCCCCTGTGGCATGTGTATTCATATAAATACACCCACAATAAATACATGTGATTAAGAATAAAATTTGGTGATGTGTAGGCATTTGATCTATTCATAAAACTTCTTAAGAAGGGAGTAAGGGCTTGGGGTCATGCAATAAATATGCTGGAAAGAGGAAAAGTGTTCAAGGAGATGCTCAGATCGACATGATGACTCACCACAAATGTTTTCAGTAGAGGAAAGTATTTCCTACCATGCTTGATGCCTTATCCTCTCGGGGACAAAGTCTTCTATCTGGCTTTCTAGTTAAATCTGCTGTAAAATTTCATCAAGTTGAAAGTGCTCTTCCTACCCACACATGGATTTTGGTGTGAGATTTGTCAGGGAGGTGTGTGGGTGTATTCTCTTCTAATCATTCCTCACGGCTAGCTGCACTATGAAAAATTGATTCCCCGATTTGCCAGGCAAATGGCTGGGGCTACAACCCTCCTCCACCTGGAGATAATTAGGTTTAATCAGCAATTTTACAATAAATAATGGTTCTGTGAACTTGGGCTAGTCCCAAAGAGTAAAGTTTTGCATGATAAAATATGCAAAATGGCCAGATACATATGTGTGCATGGATATGAATATTTTATATGTGTGTGTGTGTGTGTGTGTGTGTGTGTGTGTGTGTGTGTGTATGACTTAACATTTGTATGTACACATATGTATATGGTCTTCAAAGACGTTTATGAAATATTCAAAGGCTATGACCACTATGACCTAGTCCTTAGAGGAAGGAGAGAAGATGAGCCTCCTAATGGACCTACTATATTCACTAGAAACTGTGCTTTGTAGAATTACTCTTTTTATCCAAGGTAGATAGATATGGGATTCCATCACATTACATGGAGATTTCCTTGTTTGATTGGTTTTTGTTTTGTTTTGCTTGTTATTTATGTGTTTTGAAACAAAGTATAGCTATATAGCCTAGGCTATGTTCACTCTTACGATGTAACCTGGGCTGGCCTTGAACTCACTGTCCTTCTATCGTAGCTTCCCAAGCATCGTGCTTACAGGACTGTGCCATAATGGTGTGCCTCAGTTTGTTGTTTGTCACTGGGCAAACACATGCATATTCAACGTGGGGGAGTAAAGCCTCAAAAACATTTTGTTATCCCAAATCAAAACAAAAGGAAACTGTAAGATGGACTCTACTAAGGCGTCTTCTTTACCTGTGTGGGTGCTGGTGTCGTTGAGCTCAACACTGGCAGAGGGTATGTGGGGCTGGGGGCTGTCCTCACCATAGGCTTTCAGGATGTACTTCTCCAGGACACCTTTAACCACAGTGGGTTCATCCCAGGCCACCTCAATGCTGTATCCATTTATGCTCTGGGCTCTTGAGGGAGTTGGCACACTCTCTGGAGCTAGGAAAGAATAAAGGAGAAAGGTAGAGGAAGCGCCAGTCTGAGGAGATGACTGTTCCTATTCTTCACTTTTAATGGCAGCCGTAAATCAGGCTCGACCATTAGCATAAATACAATTTATTAGAGTTGTAACTTTTCAGCATTGATTTAATATGACGGCACATCTTGAGCCATTCAGTTTAAGCTATATTTCAAAACCATCAAAACTCCATCGACATAACATTCTTTTAAATTGAGACCAGGTTTTCCAAAAACATTGAGTGTATCCGACGTGTTTAAGCAACACTCATCAGGAAGGAGGCGCTTGGTAGGCAGATAACAAGGTGAAGCAATATAATGACGTGCTACTTTGGAGCAAGGTAATTAGACTGTTATTATACACAGTGAGATGACACTTTTATGCCTTCCATGTAGCCAAAAAAAAAAAGTAAAAGAAAAAAAAAATCACACACGTGATTGTGTATGGTCTTTGAATGGCTGTTCCCACTTCCCAAATCCAATTGTCCTTTAAATGGTTTTCAGAAAGCATAGCTCCAGCAGGTATGATATATAGGGTACACTTTTAATTGCATTTCGGGGGTTAAGGGAGTTGGTGTCTGGATAGTCTTCAAAATCAGTTTTAGAGACATTCTCTTCAGCGTATCTCAGAACAAAGTGAGAACACTTATAGGGACTGTAAAAGACCTAGCAAGCTGGGCCCTGATTTCAAAAATCCATAACCTTTAACTATTTATTAGATATTTACACAGCTCTGATCAGTAACAACTTCATCACAGCTGACTGCACTGGGGACACAAAGAAAGAGCCCAAAGAACTGCGTGGCAGAATGATGGATGAGAGACCCGCTCTAACTGCTCCTGGGCTTCTGAGCCCCGTCAATGGACGGCGGAAGACAGCCGGGTTTCCGACATCAAGTAGTCTCCTCCCTGACTTACTGTTCAGACCAATACAACAGGACAGCTTTAAGGGAAATGAAGTGAGCATTAAGGATGAGAGGAGACACAGAGAGCAGCACTCTCCATGCACTTAAGACACTACAGGCATCTACAGAAAACAGGACACATAACCACATTGCCAGGAAAGAGACAAGTGGAGAGCTGCTGATTTTATTAGTTCTGCAATGTGGTGCAGGGCAAAGATGGCACTGTCTACCAGATGGTCTTCTCATAAGGGACGAAGCAAAACCAACTCAAAAATAATTAAATAGTGCAATTATTCTCTAGCCCTGGGGAGCTGCTTGGTGCTGCGGTCAGATTGCAAATGTGAATTCATGACTTAGGATGTGATGGTCAGATCGTGACTGTACCTTCAGAGCTCCATAGTGGGTCAAGTTGGGGAGTAAGCTATGTATACAACCTGCTTTCTAGACACCCACTAAACTGCCTAAATGCAGGCATTTGTACCATATTTTCTAAGAATACAGTGGATTATTAAATAGAAGTAGAAACATGCCAGTTACCAACGGCTATTTTATTCTGAGCTTCCTACCCACTCTGAGGTTGAGGGGGATGTTAAGGGAGTGTTCACCTCACTGTCTTGTCTATAAGTAGATAATTACTTAGGAGACTCTCCCATCATCCCCCCTGGAAAATCTATAGGCTACAAGCCTTGAAAGTTATTGTTAGTGATATAGCTCAGTATGTCACATCCTTAAAATGAAGGTCCCTTTAAGGGTGCCTGGAATAGCAACCCATTATTGAGAAATATAAAATAAGGTCATTGTTGTAAAACATGTTTTTGACCAATTATTACTGGCTGGGGTAACTGTTTTCAGAGACACAGCCACCATCAATGTGCTAGTCTTTCTGACACATATTTGATTGGTTGGATGGAATACTACTCTCTACCAAACTCTTCATGATCAATAGTTCCCAGTCATGCTCCCCTAGGAAAGACTGGGCCATCACAGTCAGAAATACACAACACCTGTTGCTCGAGTGTCTGCGCTCTGCGCTAACGTGTCTCCTCATGGCTTCTCTTCTGAGTTGAAAACATTAAACCATGTGAAACTTCCTGCCCTTGAGACTCATCCTATGATGTCATGGTTCACTGCCATGACAAATGTCTTCTAGGACATGATAAAGAGATACACCTGATTCTAATCAAGTAGGAATTTTGGAAACACTGTCTGTGAGATGGAAGAAGGTACCTTTCATCTAATGGTCCCCTTGTGTCTGTCTTCTATCTTTTGGGATACAGACAACTGATAGAGGTTTCTCACTCTGAAACAGTATGGTTGCACCTATTAAATTTATAAGTACCTCACTTTCCTTTCTCTGCATCTAAAGAGGAAAGAAAAATGCCTTAGTAAGCATGCAGTTAGCTCTTACAAACTCAAATGCAGTGGTATACTGTGTTTTTCCACAGCCATTTTCAATCCAAAATGGTGCTGCTTCAGGACACAGTGTTCATGTGCACATACATATGCACATGTGTGCACAGTTACACTTGAAAATCAGCAGGTGTTACCTGTGCCTGTTGTGCGTCCCCGGCTCCAGTCGCTCGACACTGAACCTCCTTCATGGGAGGCTATGACCCGATACAGGTATTCTTAAAGGGAAATAAGAAGTAGACAGTTTAAAACCAACTTCCTACAGACTCACAGCAGGCTGTCAGCAAGGGAAAAGAAAGCAATGGCAGACCCGGAGCGTTTAATTTAGAGACCTCCACATTACCTGTAAAGGGCTGGAGCCCGCTCTCGTAAACACTCTGCTGGCTTCCCCAATAAACCAGGATGGAGTCATTTCCCCCAGAGTTAACAGTACTGTCACTTGATAGGCATCCATCCTGATTGACTCTGACAGCACGGCTGGACACAGATGCCAAGTTAACGACAGCACCCCGTGTAAATGCGACTTCCTTCATGCAGCCACGGAACCCTAGCACACAGAAAGGGATTCGTGTCACGGGAAGGGCTCGGGTCATTAATGACCAACTGTTTTTGTACTCTGCAGTTCTGCCTCTTGGGGGAGGGTTTAGTTAGGGACAGTGATTAAACTTTCAAGCCTTGTTGGAGAAATCTTTATGGCTCTTGCTTTTCATCTGACTTAACAGTCGCAGAGACATATTTACAGAAATCATTTTGAAAACCTGCATATACATAGATAATTACAGTCCTACCTTGGCACTTAGACTGGATTTCTTCTGCCTATGTAGGCCTACATCTTCTAAATTCTTTGAGCCATAAAGTAAAATTTAAACATCCACACGAGATAAAAAGGAGTTTCCACGTGCCCAGTCAACATTGGAAAATTGTTAGTATGAGTCAGTGGTAAGGGCCCAAAACAAATCATCCTTGAAACAAGATAGACTGAAGGATTTATGTAGGACAACAGCAAAGAAAACATTGCTTCTCATGCACTGGGATCCCAGACACTGACATGAGCTGTATAATCATTGTTTTACACATATGGAATGTGGTCCCAGCTAAACCACCAGAAAAAGGCAAGAGTACTATGCTCTGCCATTTTCCTGTGCCCCGTCATCTTGAATATACACCTTGAATGTGCACTGGGTTCACACTCATATATCAAAACCCATCAGTTAGTGTCAACAACGTTAATCCCAGAAACTTCACAGAATGTGTGTTCTACAGGCTGAGCTCGAAACATTAACTGCCACTGCCAGAGAATGGGATCAAATGAATTTCTAGATTTCACTAGTTTTGCCTAGAGAACAAACATAAGCGGATATCTGGTCAGCCAAGAAGTGACAGTTTCTTTGAACATGTATTGACAGACAGAGGTCAGTTCTATGAAGTCTCGCAAGACTGTGCCCAGAAATATGCACCAAATTAGGATGGGCAGGGCTGAGGCTGCATTGCAGTAGCAATGCCCCCCCCCACAAATATTCACCTTCTTTCTGTACCATGCACTGTCAAATTTGAAAGGTTCAGGTGTACTATTAGTGTTCTTAAAGATTAAAATGGCCAAATTGTTCTCTTCAGTGTCTAGCTGATATCTTATTATTTTTTCTATCATGTTAAGCTACAGCCTGCTTCTTTTTAAACACCTTTAGCTATTATTCCAGTTCCTTCAGGCCTGACTAATCAATACTGCTAGTCTATCTTCAATACATGGTAGACATGAAAGAGCTTGGTTAGATTGAATTGGAAGCAGTGAGGCTCAGTATAAAATATATTTGCTGGGAAATTGAGAGCCAAAGTATTTCATCATTAACAGGAATCATTTTCTGATGATACATATGAGGATCATCTCACCTCTCTGGACCCAATTTTCCCTCCCCATAAGAAGAGGGCAAAAGAAAGGCAGCTTTCGTAATATGTCTATGCTCTTCTAAGAAATTGTCAAAACAGAGTTCTGGAGGTGGAATGGTGATGTGTATGCATTGCTGTTTGTTCACAATGCCACTGAAAGGTCCACATAAAATGGTCACAAAGCCTCTCTCTCTCTCTCTCTCTCTCTCTGGTGTGCTGGTGTGTGTGTGTGTGTGTGTGTGTGTGTGTGTGTGTGTGTGTGTGTGTAGAGGGTGGGCAGTTCAGACCAGTTAAGTGATTGCCTTGCAGCTATGGGGACCTGAGTTCTATCCTTGGAAACCAAATAAAAATGCTGAGTACCATCAGAAGTTGATAGTAGGACCCTATTGCTGAAGATACCACAGACTTTGGTCATAGGCCATGGAGCAATCAAGTGACAGCTGCTGACAGGGAAGCTTTCTCCCTGCTGCCCAGCTTTCACAGTCCTGAACGGTGACATGTAGGTCTCTAGGGGACAAAAGTCACCCACAGTCTCAGCAAGCTATGAACTTTGCAAGCCATGATAATGTCATACCAGGCAAGATATGCTGGCGGCTACAATAGTGGCATAATTGTTATGGGTGCATCTGTTCTGTTGTTGGATTCAAGGCCTGCTCCTGGGGAGGAAATGTATGTCTGGTACTATAAGTTTGGCCCAGAACCCATGGCTGGGAAGTTCACAGGCCCCAAGTGTGAATCCACTACTGCTATTTTGCTAAAATAATACTTAGTATCAAATTGCCCTCTAAATTTATGACTGCTCACAGATCAGTCCAGCTCTTATACCTTATTGGAGAAGCTTCTTTATGCAGTGATTAATGTTTAAACTCACAACTGGTCAAAGTACAAAGAAAAAATGGCTATGGAAGCCTCAGCCATACATGGGACCTTTATATGACACCCTTTGCCCAAGGTTCAGGGAACATCATAAAAGGAAGGGTGGGAAGACTGTAAGAGCTGGAGGTCAAGGAGGACTGTAACAAATGTCTTCTGGACAGGACAGCACAGTACTGATGTATGCATGGACTCTAACAGATGTGTTTGCCCTCAGAAGACCTGTGCAAGATCAAGCTGGTTGCATATTCCAACAAGGAGTTAGGCTCCCATGCCCCCACCCCTAGCTGAGAAGCTACTGATAATTGATGGCTATTAGATCAATTTCTTTTAGGGTTATAGTGTCTGGTTGGTAGACTGTTGTCCAGTAAACAGACCCTCACCCATCCTTGTATGGACAAATTGAACCTAGTTATTGTGGAATATTATTTTAAGATGTGTTATATTTGTTTATGCCGTGGAACATTTTTTTTTGTTTAATGGTGCAAAGATGTGTTGCATTCTTTTATGTTGCATTTGTTTAACTCTTTGAAGTTGTGTTGCTTTGCCTGTCTAAAACACCTGATTGGTCTACTAAAGAGCTGAATGGTCAATAGCAAGCCAAGAGAAGGTGGGCCTGACAGGCAGAGAGAATAAAAAGGAGGAGAAATTGGGGAAGAGAAGATCAAGGAGCAAGAAAAAAAGGAGGAGATCAGGGGCCAGGCACCCAGCTACACAGCCAGCCATGGAGAAAGAAGTAAAGAAAGGTATATAGCATAAAGATAAAAGCCCAGAGACAAAAAGTAGGAGAGATAAGCTAAGAAAAGCCTGCTAAAAATAAGCCAAGCTAAGGCTGGTCATTCATAGAAAGAAAATGAATTTATTTGGGAGCTGGGTGGCAGCCCTCCAAAAGAGTCAAGGAGCAAAAGGTAAAAACAACTCACTACACTTAGTGAGTTATTAAAAAAATAAAATAAAAGATGATGAGAAACTGAAAGGTTCAGAGTGGATTCCACAGGTGCTAGAGGTCAGGAGTCGGGTAAAAATGATCAAAATACATTGTGTGCATGTATAAAGTCCATAAAGATTGAATACAAAGATTATAGTACAGTTTTTTTTATGCTGGACATTTTTGTTAATGTTTGTAACCCCTGTGTTGGGGAGGTAGAGACGGAAGATCCCTGGGGTTTCCTGGCCAGCCAATCTAGCCAACCAGAGAGACCCAGGTAAGTGAAGAGCCATGGCTTCAAAATAAGTGAGTAAACGAATAGATAGGCGTATTGTACCCAAGGAACAAAACCAAAAGTTGACTCTGGCCACCATATGCAAAGGAATACCTGTTCACACGCAGATACAATGTGCACCACAGACATATATGTGCACACCCATACACACACAATAAAACTGGGTATAAGTGTAAGTTTCACGTTCATCGTGTTTCACTAAAATTTTCAAAAGTTAAAAATCTAATGACATGGAAATCATTTAAACGTGTGGATTTTTAAAGTTCGGAAAGGCCACAGATAAGGTAGCTTTTCATTTGGCACATAAAGGGAGGCTGGAGAGGCACGAAGGAGGTTTACAGGCATCAACTGCAGAAGCGGAAGACGCTGGGGCCCCAGCCTGCAGGCGGCGCTGCTGAGCTCACCTTCGGGGCCGGCTGTGGTTTCCTTCAGCGGGAACAGAAAGGATGACACCATTACCTGTGTGCCACCAAACACTCCCCAAGCCACTTCAAAACTTGGATGAATGTGACAATAAAATGTCGAGAAAAAATTGATTTTGACGGGAGTGGAGACTCTTTCTGTCTTTGTACAAAACAACAAAATTCCCTCGGCCCTTCTTCCTCTTTCCTGTCTCCCGAACCTCTGAATATCTAAAAGGTGGCCCAAGCGACTCTGGCAGGATCAGGAAGCGGCAGTGGGGTATGTGATTTGGCAGGCATGCAGGATGGGTTCTAGCTTGCCCTGTCCCTGTCTCCCAGGAGCTTTAGGAAGAGCATACACCGTGTCATTGTGTGCCTTGGGCCAGTACAGCTGGCCTGGATGTGAGTGCTTGTCCTCAGTGATCGTTCTAAGAAGACAAAACTCCCACAATCCTTTGAGAGGTGTTACAATTTTAACAAATTAAGTTGCCAAGAATTTGCAACACCAAGAGGAGAAATAATTTTGCATTTCATTTGAAGGACAATCACATTAATAACTAGAGAGAAAAAAAATACCATGAATATAACTATAAAATAGAGCCCGAGAGAAAGAGGGTCTAATTAGGAAGCACGGGAAAGGATGAAGGGTAAGAGTAAGGCTGTTGAGAGGCTCCAAAGGGCTGCATTAAGCAAACATGATGCCTTTTAATTAATCGTGGCTGCCTGTAGGCTGTGCCTCTATGTGGTGAACAGTCTCTTAGGTGAGTACATATCCAGGTAGAAATACCAGCATGTCTCAAAGCACCCGAGTCAGAATTTTAAAGCACAGGTGTGGGGGGTGTCTTTGAACTTGGATTTTTAACACCATTTTACCCTATCAAGTGCACCTGGGAAGATGTTGATGCTGATGCTAATGATAGTGGTGATGATGATGATGATGGTGGTGGTGGTGGTGATGATGATGAAGAAAGCTAATTTCAATTTCTTGCTATAGTCCAATATACTAGACTTCAATAGTTTATCAGTGTTGCAAAACCGGTGACATGGATAAAAATTACACACCAAATGATTTATTCTATGTATAAATAAAATATCCATCACTATCATAGACTTACAGCTAGGATAGGTAAAATTGTTCCCTTTCAATCTTTGTGGATGCTTTAAATTTCTCTCAGTATCAGCTCACCATTCAATTTATTCATGTCTCCAACGCCATCAAATGTAATGGGGTTAGGTATACTTCTAAATCCTAAGCCCAGATCAGTGAGTTGTTTTATCCAACAGTGCCCAGCCCCATGTAAATAGGATGGGATATTCTCACTCACAGAGAAGTGCCAGATTCTTTCTCATACCAGAAAGTCTGGAAATCTAGAGAAGGTCTTGTATGAATGTAATATTTTTAGCAGCTGCTACATCTTAAGTGCCTTGAAAATGTCATTACTGTCTTAGACCCTGGTTATTCATTAACTCCTTACTGCTACTCTGCTCGAAGTCTCTTTAGAGCGCTCCATATATTTTCGATTCAAAGTCATTTAAATCTTTATGTACTTACCAAATAGGCAATGACTGTTTCATGGAAATTTTAACCATTCATGGTGTATAGATTTAAAAATGTACAGAGAACATTCTCTATATGAGAGCATGCTTGGTCACAGTCTGGAAGTTTCTGGCTTTCCCTGAGTCATGGAAGTGGGGTAATGGCAAATACCAATTAAAAGAATCCATCACTGTAACAAGAGACCAAACCGTGGCACCAGCTTGGTCACCACGGATTTATTCTCTTGCACCTGCTTTCTAATCCTGTGATCTCTGGCAAATGACTTTCTTCCCTACTGGTCACCTTCCTCATCCATCAAGTGGGGTCACAAGTCACCATGCCTCCATCATAGGCTCCTTGTGAGGAACGTATCTTGTCCCATGTGAAGTGCTCAGGAGGTATTGCACATGGGCATTCTTAGCCTTCTCCCTTTTTTATGAATCAGGGGTCTCACCATATAGCCCAGGAGGGCACCGAAAATTGTCGTCCTCCTGCCTCAGCCTCTCCAGTGCCAACATGATCGGCTACCTTTTAAAATCTTTTTTTTTCTAGTTAAATACAAACATACATGAGTTAAATGCTGGGCTAAGTGTTTAGCTCCTTTCCTTTTCCTGATGATTACTGATAATCAAAACTGTCTAATTTTTCATAAATGTATTTGGAATTCAACCAAACTCATTGTTTCATGTGTTTTTATTCCTGCCTAAAAATTCTACTGGAAAAGCCATAGAGGTAATGAACTCTGATGTCAGAGGTTTAAAAATATACAATTGCAGTAATTTCCTAGTTGTTCATGCACACCTCTATAAACTTCTATTTTTAACTTTCCCATATAGGTGATGATCAATAGTCAAAAATTCCAAACCATGTGTGTTTTCAAAGAAAATATGCATGTAGCACATATAAAATTGATTTGTGTGACAATTTTATTTGCTGAAGACATGTTGGAATAAATATGTTGAATATAAGTAGTGTGATGGAATACTCTCAGAAACAACATAGAAAAGCTGCCTGAGTGGTTAAGAACACTGGCTGCTCTCGCAGAGGACCTGGGTTCAATTTCCAGCACCCACATGGTGTCTCTCAACCTACTGTGCTCCAGTTCCAGGAGATCTGATGCCTCCTTCAGGCTTCTAAGGGTACTGTATCATGTGATGTACATACATATACTCAGGCAAGATACAGACATAAAATAAAAATAAACAAATCTTTAAAACACATCATTTAAAAAAATATGTTTGAAGAAATGTCCAGATGTCCAGTGATTTTTTTTTTAACCTAAAGGTCTCTAAGAAAAGAGAGGGTGGCCTAGTGGGTATTATTTTAATACAAGTCTGCTGCCATATTCCGAAGCCTGGTGGGACAGGGCCAAGTCCAGTGGTGGGTGTCCCGGGGCGGCGGGGGGGGGGGACTTACCTTGCTCCAGAGTCAAATGGCTGTAGGAGTCCTGCAGCTCCTGTGGGATCCCACCCACATAGACAGGCGAATTCACCTGCAGCGTCTGGGCTCCGGCTTGTGAGGTGCGCTCCATGAGTTGATTCGCACTAAGTGACACCAGGGAGCCTTCCCTTTTAATAATGACTGTGTTCCAGTTTCCCTCACCATAGGCCGGTCCCAGCCAGAGATCCACTTGTGTAAAGCGACGACTGGATTTCAACCGGAAACTCAGCATTCCGCTCTTCAGCTCCAGCTGAATATTAAGCAAAGAGCCACATCAAAAAGCTGCAGAATGGCAACTTAGACAAGAGCAGAAGGTCAGTTTCCTGAGGAAAAGCAAGACACTTTCCTGAAAGCAGCAATAAACCGTTCAATTTCATCATAAGCACAGCTCAAGGAATGGATAATGAAATATTTTGCAAGCTTACAATTGGCATGAAGAATGTTGTACTGAGTCAAACAAATTCATACCCAGTGATGATTATACTACACAGGATGATATTACGGAGGCACCAGCTTTTTGTCTAACGTAGTTAACAGATTAAATCCTACTACAAATGACTGGCGAACTGGAGAACGGAACACTATGAACTATGACTCCATTTTTGAGTTCTTAGAAAATGAGAAAATACGACTGCATGTATCAATTTAATTTGGGGGAAAATTTGACAAGACAATAAGAAAATGAAATGTCAAGCTTGATGAAGCTTGTTTTAAATGGTTAGTGAACTCAATTTCAAATTTGTAAGATATATTTTGATTCAATGTTTCAGTTTTATTCTGAATCTCTAGCATAATTGCTTCTGTGTGTATTCTTTTAGATTAATGCACCATTTTCTAATGTCAGCATATTTTACCTAAATTTTCAGTGTGAGGGAAAAACATTCATATGTTTTCCCTCGAAATGTTACATGATAATTACTTTACCTATCATTTTTTAAAAATTTCTTTTAGGTGTGAAATCAGCTGCCATACTCATTGAAAGTTTGAGATCGGTGTATTAAATAAAATAAATTAAATCTTGCTGGGAGAAGGATATGTCTTCTATGGAGACATCTTCATGATGCATCCCCAGCAAGCAGGCATTGCTCTTCATTCAGTTAGCATGAAGACCACCCATTCCCTAAAATCCCACTGATGGCAAAGGAGCATTCTGAGGCATTCCTGTAGCCAGGACAGTGATGGGATACCACATGAACAGAGGACATATGAGCCACTCACTCCCTGAGTCAAGAAAGATTCGGAAGAGCTGGGGTAAGCACTCCACGGATGAAACCCTTGCCAAGCGAGGTAGGGACCAGACTTGGGATCCCTGGCCAGGTGGATTGCAGCCTCCTGTAATTCCAACAGAGCACACAGTCCTAGCATTGGGGAGGAAAAGGCAGAGGCTCCCCAGAGCAAGCTGGATATTTGGACTGACTGGATTAACAAGCTCTGGAGTCAGCAAGAGACCCTGTCTCCATAAATACAGTGGAGAGTAGATCTAGAAAGAAATGTGACATCTAACTTGGGGCTCCATGTGCATACATACACATGTGCACTCACACAAGTACACCCACATACATGCTCACACCTACACATATAAGCACACATTCACACATCTGAAAAACACACAACACACACACACACACACACACACACACACACACACACACATGCACACACGAGATTTAGAGTAATGTAAGATGCATAATCTTCCTCCAAGCAGGAAATAGATATGTGCATGGCAGGGGACCTTAGGTTTAAAGAAGCATTACAATTCAGCCAAGACACAGGGGGAACTGAGAGTGTCGCTCAGTGTTTAGAGGTAGATTTTGGATGATTTGGAATGACATGGAAAAAGTTCATCTTTCTTTCATCTGAACCCAAAGCTATGATTTGTACTGACTTATTTTATATCAAGTTCATCTTCTTGGGCATAGGATGTATCCATCAGAAACTGGGATCAGTAAAACATTGAAAGTCATTACTATAAGCACAATTATAATGGTGATCAGGAAGTCTCTAAGAAGTATTTCCTGAAGCAGCTCACGAGGGTATGGTGAACAGTACTGAATGCACTAGGTACCAGTAAAGTACACATACTGGCAAACTGCCATGTGCAGTTTGACTACACCCAGAAGCTGGCTTGGGAAGCAGGGTTGTCACGTCCCATTTTAGACTTAAGGGTTGTTCCACCCGTTTCCGATGTAAGCATGTTTGTCTCAAAGTGTCTTCAGAACTCTCCTCTGAGGACAGGGTGGGCTGCCCAACTCTGTGACAAGGAGGAAAAAAAGACCAAAGTAGGTCTAGAGTGAAATCACTGTGTGTCCTTCAACAGTGGAAGGTGAACTATTCCCAGTAGATGAGAACTACTGCTCATCTCATAATAGAACGGTAACTACAGTGGGAAAGAGAAGCCAGGAGTTGAGTGTGAGAAGCTCATCTATGCAGAAAAAGCCTAATTGGGAACTCTAGCTGACTGCCTCAACTTCCCCACTCAGTCTCTGCTGATGGCCTAAGCACCAGCTTCAATGAGTTTACCTTCTCACTGTTCTTTGCTCTTTAACGGGAAGTCTTGTTCTAGAGAACATCCTGCTCTGATCAGGCCTCACTGGAACTCTAGCTGAAGACCTTAATGGAGCTTCCCCAGGTGATATCTGCCAGGGGTTTTGAGCACCAGATTTGATGGTGTTATTCTATCTGTCTCTGTCTTTCTTCCTGCAGCTTGCTATTCATTCTTTCACTTTTACTTGCTATGTGCTTAAAAACTCCCTCATTTAAAATCCAAAGTATATCTATGGTAGATCTTCCAGCAGACTGTGTAGAACAGTGCATGAAAAATCAAGGACATGTTACTTTTAATTTGATTGTACTGAATCACCTAGGAGACCAGCAGAGAGCCCTGTGTGTGTAGGTGAAGGCATTCGCAGGGCTGATCATGAGTGCTCTGACCTCACCCCACTAGGTTAAAAGTCTTAACAGAGGGCCTAAAGAGATGGCTTGGTGGTTAAGAGCACCTGCTGCTCTTGTAGAGGACCTGGGTTCAATTCCCAGCACCCACATGGTGGCTCACAAACATCAGTTACTCCAGTTCCTAGGGATTTTCTTTTTAATCTCTTCTTGGCTCTGTGGGTACCTGCACACATGTGGTGCACAGACATACATGCAGGCAAAGTATCTGTGCACATAAATAAAAATAATGTAAAAAGTCAGAATAGATTATTGTGAGATGGTGGTTGTGTGATAGTTTTTTAGGCTAGTTTTAGGATGTGTGTTGTTGGGAGTGTGTTTCTGAAGGGTACCTGTTTAACTGGCCCATCCCTGTCTTCCCTGTCAGAACCCCCACACTGTCCTACCCTTCACATAGCAGAAGTTTCTGGAGCATGCTCCTGCTATCAAAAATGCCAAGGATTACAGAGTGAAATATCTGAACCCAGGAGCCAAAATAAGTGCTTTCCTTTGGGTCCTGTCAGGTATTTGGTTAAAGTAACACAAAACAATGACTATGACATTTCTCATCCTTTGTCCTTGTATGACCAATGGGACAGGGTTCACCCTTCTCACGCTATCACCACAAGAATGGCTGGTGAAAGCCAAGTGGTGGTGGTTTATGCCTTTGACCCCAGCACTTGGGAGGCAGAGGATCCCTGCAAGTTTGAGGCCAGCCTGATCTACATAGTGAGTTCCAGGATAGCCAGGACTACACAGAGAAACTTGTCTCCGAAAACCAAAAAAAAAAAAAAAAAAAACCAAAACAACAACAAACAAAACAAAACAAAACAAAAACAAAAAACTAACAAACAAACAAACAAACAAAAACCTGAAAAGAATGGCAGGTTAAGAGGCAGGCTTTCAGGGAGGGCTCACACTGTAGATGATGCTGGATTTAAAATGTTCAGAAAACAGGAAGAGAAATGTTTCTGGAAGAGGTGAGACAAAAACACATGTAAATTTGGGGTGGGCCAGTGAAGTGGAGAAAGTATTCATGACGGCCATGCCATCTGTCCAGTGCTACACTCCGTTTTGACAATAGCATCTGACTGAATAACCACCGTAAAAGCAAAACTGTTATAGATTCTCATTGCCCTTATGGAAACTTCTTGGTCATCTTATTCACCATAGCAAAAACATGGAAATAACCAATGTATTATTGATGAGAGGCATATTACACAGACCTGAAAATGGAACCTCTCCATGGAAAATGTGGAAAATCTAGAATACTGTGAATAAATACAAATTCCTTAAAATATAGCACATACCACTTTCATAAATCTCAAAATATGTAGCACTCATTCACATATGGTAATCAAATGCAAACCAGTAAGAAAACACGGGAGTATCATGACGTATTGATTCTGGTCAGAGTTGGGGAAACAGAGTAGAAGACATTAAAGGATGATCACTGAGTCCTTGGATGGAGTGGTATGCTTATTATCATTCATTGTGTTGTGTTTTATCAGGCACCAAATGAAATATATAAAGTACATTTTGAAACTGTATCAAAAGATAATGAAGAGGTATTTTTCATGTATTGAGAAACTAAATTGGATTTCCTTAATTCTTAACATCTGCTCTGTTTTGTTCAATTCACAACGTTTATAGTACTAATTGTCAGTTTAACCAATTATCTTAACCCTGTAAGACATTTCACAGGCCTATGAAAATAAAGACTGCTTGAGGAAAAAAATGAAAATAAAAGTGAATTTAAAAAGCCCAATTGTGTCTAATACTAACACACAATTTATCTCTTTCAAAATTGGGTCTGATATTTTTAAATAAATTTAATTAAATTCGTTAACATACAGCAAGAAAATCCGGTCCCTCTTTGTTGTGAATGAAAAGAAGCAATCCATTTAGTTGGTTGGTTTGAAACTTCAGGGAAATCTCAAAGTCCTTTGCAGCCTGAAACGTATCTGCACGAAGCTCCAGGAATCCTTTAAGAGGAGAGAGCATGCACACACATCAGCATATTGCAGGCACTGTAAGAGTGTGGTGAGCATCTGGGAAATGTACCAACTTTGTTTTAAAACCCCACAAAAGAATAGATGGATCAGTATCAGGACATGCCTTCTGCTGTCTAGTGGAGGTTGTGAGATGAATGTCACATCCCTATGAAGAGGAAACAGATTACTTCCTAAGTTGCACACTCATGCACATCCCAGGTGATGCTGAACCCCCTGATGAAGCAGTGACCAGGCTTTGGGCTAAGACAAGCTCAGATTGCCATCTTTAGTGGAAAATGGACATCACTATTGTTCTGTTCTACACATAAGTCCTGAGGATTATGTTTATAGAGGAATAGTCTATATCTGCCATGCCACACTGTTCCTTCCCAGGGCTATGCCCTGGGGTCAGGACAAGGGTGTACAGACAGGAGATGGGTGGGAAGGAAGTGACAGGTACCACTACGACCTCACAGTTTTCTCCAGCCTCTACAGTGGTGGCCCTCGTCGCTTGCTGTCCCTCAGAGGCCTGCTTCACTCCATGCCCAGCTTTACAGACAGGCATGGTTCAACTATATAATAAGGGAAATGGGGATGTTGAATCATCTTAACAATGAAAACTCCTTGGCAACAATATTCACAGTAACCTGCATGCTGACATCTGTCAATTGATTTATACATGGGCACTGTGACACTCACATACAAACCAGGAACTCTGGGGACCACCAGAGATGTCACTGATAGATACATAGCATGAATTGTAACAGTTATATTTGATATTCATGCTTTGAAAATGCATGTAGAATTCTACAAACACACTTCTGCGATTTACTCACTAAGGTAAATTGGATGGGGGAGGTTAATTTAGACGAGGAGGAGAACAAATGCACTGCTATAGTTTGCCTCTTGAATGTCCTCAAATCTTTCAAAAGGGATGCATAATAGGAGACCTTCAGGACCAACAAGGAGGCACTAGAAGGGGAGTGTGGCCTCTCCTCATTTTCTTTTCTGCTCATTGGCAGTGAGTGATTTCACAGGGCCACACACTCCCACCGGGATGTGCTGCCTCTCATGGATGGTCAGAAGTCACGAGGCTAACTGACCATAGACTGAAACCTGGAAAACTGAAAGCCAAAGTTCACCTTTTAGCTTTTTAAGTCAACACTCCTGGATAGTTGTGATTGCGAATGAAAGTTGATTAACGCCTGCTGAGTCACCAGCCATGTCTCACCTGCTCCCAGGAACTGGACTCCATCTTCCAGGGCAGTGGGGCACCCCTCCCAGCTGTGATACATGTTGACCTGCTCCTCAGAACTCTGCCAATCCAGAGGTATCCAAGTCACAGAGGGGCTATAATTCTTCATAACGTACACATCCTTGAGGCAGCCCACAAAGCCTCTTTGGGTTATCTCTGCAAAAGTGATAGGTGTCATGGAATACACATAATTCATTTGTTTGGACTTTATTTTTTATCCATCCATTTTACCCAACACTCAAAGGGAAGAGACCTGCAAGCATTCACACCCAAGTCCCCTACGGTAGGTTTGAAAGAAAATGGCCACCAAAGGGAATGGCACTATTAGGAGGTGTGGTTTTGTTGAAGTGGGTATGACTTTGTTGGAGGAAGTGTGTCACTGTGGAGGTGGGCTTTGAGGTCTCATATATGCTCAAACCACATGCAATGAGACAGATTACTTTTTGTTGCCTGTGAGACAAGGTGTAGGGCACTCGGCTACTTTTCTAGCACCATGGCTACTTGTACACCATCATATCACACCATGATGATGATGGACTAAACTTCTGAAAATATAAACCACCTCGATTAAATATGGTCCTTTATTAGAGTTGTGGTGGTCATGGTGTCTCTTCACAGCAATAGAAACTGTACTAAGACGTCCCCAAAAGTCTCTAACAATTTATGTAGAAACCACCCTGATAGCTACAGTGAATGGTTACAATGTTCTATTTGGCTCTGGCTCACTCACAATGAATCTACAAAAAACAAGTTTATGAAACAAACAAACAAAACTTTGTTTTATGCTATTAGCAAGAATATTGTCTTTTGAATTAACCCAGAAATTTTTGTCATAAGTCTTCAAACTAGGTGCTAAATACTGTGGTAAGTGAGGTTTAGGGCTGGGGGAGAGGGCTCAATTGGTAAAGTGTGGGATGACTCATCCCTCACAGGCTTGAGGACCAGACAGCCCAAACAAGTAAAAAAGGCTTGAGAGCCAGCCTGGGTCTGCCGAAGGGTCTTAGCAACAGCAGCTGAAACATGATCTGGAGATGACCTGGACCAATGAGAGACAGCCATGTCACACCAGCTGATGCATATTCATCAGACCTCCCCTCCCAGGGTGGGGTGGAGGGTATATAAGACTTGCCTCTTCCTGAATAAACTGAGCTTATTGTTTCGACATTCTCCCGGAGTCTGTGTGGTTTGACTCTGTGCCTACTTTGTCCCCGCCCCCAAAGGGAACAACAGCAAGGACCCTGCTACAGTAAAGTACTAACCACAGCATAAGGATCTGGGGTTTGGATCCCCACCACCCACTTAAAAGGCCCAAAGTCCCTTCCTCCCAGCATTATGTGCTAATAAACCCAGTGCTCAGGAGCTAGGGGTAGGCACAGGAGGGTCCCTGAAGTTCATTGGTCAGCCAGCCCAGTCAAATCCATGAGCTTTGGTCTCTGTGAGACATCCTGTCATAAAAATAAGGGCAGAGAGTGATTGAAGGAAGACATAAGATGTAGACCACTGATATCCACAAGTACATGCACATGCTCATAGGTGCATGAACACCCATACACATGAATGCCTTCCCCACAAACACACCTTGGATTTTCTTTTACTCTAGCCCCATATTGGGTGCCAAAATGTTGTTGTTGGTTTTTCTTTTTTTTTGGGGGGGGGCCACCCAGCTCCCAAGTAAATCACTCATAGAGGCTTATTCTTAATTATGATTGCCTGGCCTTAGCTTGCCTTGTTTCTTGCCAGCTTTTCTTATCTTAAATGAACCCATCTGTCTTTTGCCTCTGGGCTTTTACCTTTCTCTATTTCTGTATACCTTTCTTTCTTCCTCAGTTGCTGATTATGTAGCTGGGTGGCTGGACCCTGGAGTCCTCCTCCTCCTTTGGTTCCTTGATCTCCCAGATTTCTCCTTCTATGTCTTCGTTTTGCCTATCAGCCCTGCCTATAATTTCTCCTGCCTTGCCATTGGCCATTCAGCTCTTTATTAGACCATCAGGTGTTTTAGACAGGAAACTAACACAGATGCACAGAGTTAAACAAATACAACATTAACAAAAGTAACACACCTTAAAATAATCCCTAGCACACACACACACACACACACACACACACACACACACACACACACACATGACTACTTCCCCACACAAACATACATATGAACATATACTGGCACACATGGAGTGACCCCACTTATCGCAGGGTCCCAGACTTTACATGACATCTGGAATGCATATGGGAAAAAAACAAACAAACAGACAAACCCTAAGATTATTAGTAAGCATTTAAAAAGTGACTGTTGTCATGGTCATGTAAATTTTTATTATACTTATTCATTTATACTTGTGTATCTGTGTGAGCACGTTCATGCTATGGTGAACATACTGCAGCTGAGGGTAGTTTGTGAGAATTAGCTCTTTCCTTCTATCATGTGGATCCCATGGCTTGAACTCAGGTAGCCTGGCTAGACAAGTGACTACCTACTGAGCCATTTTGCCAACCTTTCCTCCCTGCCTTGTGGTAACTTTTCTTAGTTTCATTTTGGTGTGTTTTTGTTATTGTGTTCTAAAAGTATGGAGTATGTATGGGGTGTGTGTGTGTGTGTGTGTGTGTGTGTGTGTGTGTGAACTTGACACAGGCTAGCATAATACAAGAGGAATCTCATTTGAGTAAATGCCTTCACACCATTGGCCCATAAAGCTAGATGGTGGTGGCGTGGCTCACGCCTTTAATCTCAGCACTCGGAGACAGAGGTAGGTAGGTCTCTGTAAATTCAAGGCCATCCCAGTCTGCAGAGTGAGTTCCAAGACAGCCAGGGCTGTTACATAGAGAAAACCTGTCTCAAAAAACAAAAACAAAAACCACTGGCCCATAGACAAGCCTCTTTTCTTGAATAATGGTTGATATGGAAGGGCCCAGCACATTTTGGGTAGTGCTACCCCTGGTCCAATTGCCTGGGTACATACAACAATCAGTTGAACAAGCCACTAGGAACAAGACAGTAAGCAGTGTTTCACCATGGCCTCTGCTTCAGTTCCTGTCTTGAATTCCTGTCTTGACTTCCCTATACATGATAGCTTACAACTGTATGCTGAAATAAACCCTGTCCTTCCCAAGTTGATTTTGGTCACAGTATTTTATTGCAGTAATAGAAATGCTAATTAAGATAGGAGCTTACTTTATTAATATCTTTAAAATGGGTTTTCCATTTATTTTATATGTATGAATAAATGTTCTATTATCTATTAATCTATCATCTTTCTAGCATTTTATCTACTTAATTATCTATTTTTCTACTTATCTATTTACCATCTTCCTATCATTTATCTACTTATTTATTTATCATCTATCATCTTTCTATCATTTATCTACTTATCTATTTATTATCTACCTTCTGTATATAATTTATCTACTTATTATCTATCTATCTATCTATCTATCTATCTATATATCTATATATCTATATATCTATATATCTATCGTCTATCTATGTCTTCATATCATATGTGTGCCAAGACCCTTATTCACTGATAATCTCTCGAGCTCCAATGTCTGAATCATGGAGCTTTTTGGATTGGTTTGAGATCATTTGTTTGTAACCTCTTTTGTGACTCTCCAACAACTGGTGTATTGACTCTTACACAATATAATTGGAATGTTCCTCAGACTTCTGAGAGTCAAGTTTTCCATTCATGTGTCATTTCCAATGAATTAAAAGTCTTAGAAAAATATTTACACACATCCTGCAATTATACAAACCTCACTTAATTTGTATGTCATTTTTGGCAAAAGCCTAATGTATCTTTTGAATAACAAGAACTGAGTATTGACAAGGAAAGTAGAACTAATGAACATGTTTTGAAAAAGGAGAGGCCTAAGAATTAACTTGTGTTTTTAGGAAATGTAAATAACACCTATTCATACTTTTAAGTGCTGTAAATAGATTGCACTTAGTTTTGAGTATAACATTATGGTGGTTAGTTTTAATTGTCAACTTGATACAATCTAGAATCACCTGGTGAGAGTCTAAATGAGTGATTATCTAGAGCATCCTGGCCTTTGGGCTCATCTGTAGGGGGACAGTCTTGTTTAAGGTATTGATGCTTGATGTGGGAAGACCTAGCCTACTGTGGGCATTGCCATCTCTTGGGTTTGAGTCCTTGATTGTGTAAGAGGGGAGAAGGCGAGCTGAGTAGTGAGCAGGCATGGCCTTATTGTCTGCTCTTGTCTGTGAATGGGACCCACAGCTTCACGTTCCTACTGTGACCTCCCTGAGTGATGGACTATAACGTGGAGCTGCAAGTTACATAAACCCTTTATTCTTTAAAGTTGTGTTGCTGGGTATTTTTTCACAGCCACATAAATGAAACTGCGATGAAATATACTTCTACTTCCTGTGAAACTCACCAAGACTCTTTTGGAGGACAGAGTGACCTCGTGGCAGCCCGCCCACAAATAGTCCGGTGTAGCCTCCCATCACAGTACTCCTGTTCAGAGAAGCTGAGGAGCCTATAGGAGAAGAAAATTACAGCTTTTCCAGGGAATTCTTCGAGTGAAACTCATCACAGATCTTTGGTACCCAGTTCTCTTACTTCTGCTTTAAGCTCCTTGTCTATCAGGTTCCAGCTGCTGTAAACCACACACACATCTCATCAGCAGCCTCTTCCCATCTTCTACTACCATGGCCTCCTTTTCAGTCCTTAACATGCAACATAAAGTATTTTCCTATCCCCAGGGCCTACTGCCCACTGATCCCTTGGTTCAGGCCTGGTGTCCACTGTTTCCTGACCCAAAACATATTAGAAAGTTCTTCCCCAGTAGGCCTGGGTCAAATTTAACACTGCTCCCAATGCACAAACCTTTTGTGACAAAGGCCCCATGTCATTAGCTGTGAGGCTCTAGGGACCAGGCTAGTGACTGTCACATGGTGAATCCAGAATGCTCCTCAGCATCCTTAGAGGGTAAATTAGGATGGGTTTTCCCACTTCTCTCAGCTTTCCATTGAGTTTAAAGTTTTATCAACACAGGTAACACCCACCTATCCCTCTTTTCCATTTTTGTAACTCTCTAGCACTTTTTACTTTATTATCTTCTGCCCCCACATCCATCTAAACTATAACCTCTACAAAGCTCTGTTTACTCTGTTATCTGAGCACCCAGAACACTAGTAGAAATAGTAGGAGCTCATTAAAATCACTTTTACCCTGAATAAATGAATGAAAGCCTACATCAGTGGATGAAAATGGAAAACAGAACCAGTTGAAAAGAGAACCACACTCAAAGCAAACATTCCTATGTGGGGACAGTCCTGCCTACCCACCGTGGAAATGTGTGGTGGTATTGTGTTCCCCAAAATATTGTGTACCTTAATAAACTTATCTGTGGTCAGAGGACAGAAAAGCCACTAGTTAGGCAGTGATAGCACACGCCTTTAATCCTAGCATTCCAGAGACAGAAATCCCTCTGGATCTCTGTGAGTTCAAGGCCACATTGGAAACAGCCAAGCATGGTGACTCATGCCTTTAATCCTAGGGAGTGATGATAGAAAGCAGAAAGGTATATAAGGCGTGAGGACCAGAAACTAGAGGCATTTGCCTGGCTAAGCATTTGGCTGGTTAAGTATGTGGCTGGTTAAGCATTCGGCTGGTTAAGCTTTCAGGCTTTGAAGCAGCACAGTTCAGCTGGGATTCATTCTGGATGAGGACTCAGAGACTTCCAGTCTGAGGAAACAGGACCAGCTGAGGAACTGGTGAGGTGAGATAGCTGTGACTTGTTCTGTCTCTCTGACCTTCCAGTATTCACCCCAATAACTCGCCTCAGGTTTGATTTTATTAATAAGAACCTTTAAGATTCCTGCTACAGAAATGGGAGAACTTAACTACATTTCTGAGTCTTGGTTCTTCTCATCTCTCTGTGTAGATATGTGTTTTCCTTGTCTGCCTTCTGGAGTCAAAGGGGAACATCAGTAAGGTAATTAAAGACCCTTGCAAGGTGTGGAGAGTGCACAAGATGCAGAATGAACACTGGTGACGTCATTCCCATCTCTGCTTTACTGGAGTCCTACCTGGATGAGAAGCTCAGGGCCAGACTTTACGAGCAGAAGAGCAAAGGGCAACTAAGAGACAGATTTCACAGGGACTCATGTGAAACTGAATGAAGAAATCAATGTGAAATTCACATGTGCAGATGTACATGTGAGCATGCATGTACACACACACACACACACACACACACACACACACACACACACACACACAGTTCTTACCTGTGTACTGTCCATCGACAGTGATTTGGCCTAAAGCCTGATGCCTAGCCACAATGATTTCATGCCACTGTCCATCACTGTATTGTTTACCATGATCATCAGTTGTGGTAACCTCCACTAGTGATCCCTTAAGAGAATGAATGAACAAGTAAATGAATGCAAGCTCACATTTAGATGCCAGTGACACTGTATATTTCTTCCTCTTTTTAAATAAATATTTTTATTTTATAATTAATTTAATTTTACATATCAGCCACGGATTCCCCTATCTTCTCTCCTCCTATTCACCTCCCCAACACACCCCCCATTCCCACCTCCTCCAAGGCAAGGTCTCCCCTGGGGATTCAGCCCAGCATGATAGCTTCAGCTGAGGCAGGTCAGGTCTCCTCCTCCCTGCACCAAGGCTGAGCAGTGTCACAGCATAGGCACTAGGTTCCAAAAAGACAGCTCATGCACCAAGGACAGGTCCCGGTACCACTGCCTGGGGGCCTCCTAAACTGTCATGATAGAACTCTCATCCAATGACTGATGGAAGCAGACTCAGAGATCCATGACCAAGCCCCAGGTAGAGCTCCAGGAGTCCAATTGGTGAGAGAGAGGAGGGATTATATGAGCAAGAGATATTGAGACCATGATTGGAAAGAGCACGGGGACAAATAGCCAAACTAGTGGAAACACATGAACTGTGAACCAATAGATGAGGAGCTCCCAACTGGATCAGGCCCTCTGGATAAGTGAGACAGTTGATTAGCTTGAACTGTTAGGACACTGTGTATTTCTTATAAACCAGTTCACAGACTTCATCATTATGATCCCAATACAAAGCAGCCACTCTTTCAGATGGAACTCCACATGCATACTGGCATCTAGTGATCGCAATGACCATCCTGTGGTGTGTATCTGAAAACCCCAGTGACCAAATGGAGAGGCCTCTCCAGACCAGGACCGTCTTACAAAGGCACTTGTATTTTAGGTATCTATGTTCATATTTTAACATTCATGGAGGAACTGTAAAGAAGAGAATAATTTAAAACTGAGAAAAGTTGTAAATATATATTTGAAGGATAAACAAGCATCAGGAAAATTAGCTTCTCATCACTAATAATTTTATAATATACACTATAAGAGGGAACAGGAAATGAGTTGGGTTAAAGGTATTTATTGAACTTATATGTGTAGTTAAATTTGGTTTTCAATGCTTTGTACTCTAAAATCTAGCATTTATAGCTCTGGTAGGACAGTAACAACACAGTGAAAAATGGGTTCTTGAGTAGATAAGATGCAGTGAATGGCAGATACCAAGAAGAAAGATTGGCAAGGAAAAAGAAGCAATGAAGAAAAAGTGAACAGCCTGCCTAGCACGTTAGAGCCAGGTGAACACATTTTCAATGTACAAATCAGAATAAATAGAAGAAACTCCATCCCCATTAGCCAGCATTTACTATTGTGACTAAGAAAGCAAATCCCTTCAAACCCAAGCAGGACAAACTTAATATCAAGGTTGATTTACCTGAGAAAGAATCAAATATGAAGTTGATGAAAGTACTTAAAAATGTAAGCAAGTTTGGCTAAAATAGTACATATTAAAAAAAAACTAATCTGGAGTTGAAGGGATGACTCAGTGGTTAAGAGCCCCAGCTGCTCTAGCAGAGGACCTGGGTTTGATTCTCAGTGCCCACACTGCAGTTTCTAACCGTGCGAAACTCCAGTTTAGAGGGTGGGATGGGGTGAGATGGGGGTGGGGTGGGTGGGTTGGATCCATCTCCCCCTTCTGGCCTTCTCTAGTACTGCACACATGTTACACAGATACATGTAGGGAAATACCCATGCACATAAAATACAAATAAATATTTTTTTTTTTAAAAAAAACTTACCCAGAATGTTTCATGAAACTCTAACAATTTTGCTCTACTATTTTTCATAAGGGAAAACAAAACTGGTAACCCTCTACCATGATAGATTTACATGGCACAGCACAAGACATTAACTACAGTTTATTATATGAAATATTTCTGTTTACATTTCCCTAGGAATAGAACGCATCCATTGTATGCATCTAATTGGCTTTTGTCAAGCCTCATAATATACTCAGCAACACACACTATGTATAGAATCTCATGCTGCCAATGTTAAGACAGCAGCAACAACAACCACCAAAAAGAGCCTTTATTTCCCACAAGCACAGTAGTTGCTTCTCACATGGCCAGTACCCCAACTTACATAGACAATCTGGTCAGTGAGACACATGACCATATTCAAAGTTATCTCTAGTCTTAGACTTTCTTCCTTTCTGTTTTTTTATCCTACATATTCCTTTATTTTCCTCAACTCTATTTCAACATTTTAATATTTTACAAACACACATTTCATTATCGTAGTTTAATAATTAAAACCAGAACTGGTGTCGTGCCCAATTAATGTGCCCTGGTAGCATGCCCATTAGTTTTTCCATTAGTGAATTCAACAATACTAATGGGATTACTAGCATGGGATGCTAATTGGGTGTGACATAAGAAACTGGCTTACTTCTGAGCATACCCTTGCTAATGATGAAATTAATGAGCATTTTATTAAACGCTGTCTCATCAAAGTGTACTTAGTTAGCGTTAAAATTGTTACAAACGGTTCTGCATTTTAAAGATCAGGTGTCTGAGGCGAGGCTGTACACATTTTGTTTGGCAGTAATCTGCAGCAGGGATAGTTCTTACCATCAAAACTCCTATTGACGGGATGCAGTAGATAGCCTACAGCAGAGCTCACAAAACTTTCTCTAAGTCTTAGAGGAACTTCTCACAGCATCCTTTGATGAGAATGCCAATATCCACGTAATAATAATTCTACAGTCAGGGCTAGTGTTACACATGGAAAACACCAGGCAATTAGACTCTGCTCACAATTATTTGAAAGTTTTATGTTCAAAGGTCCCTTGTCTGTGCAAACATAAAGTTCTGTGTTGTTTCTGTGAATGTCACTGAGTATAGAATACTGAAGAGTTAAACTGGGTGATAAAATATCATCTTATCAAATCTATACAAAACTGGAGTAGCCAAATAAAGGACTAGACTGTTATAGCTATTTTAGAGACTCAATGAAACTATAAAGTTTCAATTAATGTCTCATTTTTGTTCCCTTTCAAGCTTCATTTTTATTTATTTAATGTGCATGCATGCTTGTCTCTCTCTCTCTCTCTCTCTCTCTCTCTCTCTCTCTCTCTCTCTCTCTCTCTCTCTCTCTCTCTGTGTGTGTGTGTGTGTCATGATTGCAGCTGCCTGTAGAAGCATCTGATATCCCTGGAGCTAGAATTTGATGATTGTGAGTCACCCATTGTCTCTGATGGGGATTGAACTCAGGCCCTCTGTAAGACCAGTGTGTACTCTTAACTTCTGAACCTCTCCATTCCTTGTTTTTATCTTTTTTTAAATCTATTTTATCTGTTTTAACAATGGTTCCCAGCATTCAGTTTCTGAGACACACATATCCAATTTTAACTACCATTGAGGATCTTTTTTCTTCTCCCTAAATACTTATGCAACAGATCACGTGGGACACATAGGAGAAAGACTGAGTTTTAGATGAATGGGCTCCCTCTGTGCAGGATTCACAGCTATGCCTCCCTCTGTGCAGGATTCACCGCTATGCAAGCAATTTCGTTCCCAGGTTCCTAAGACATTTTAAAACTTGAAACATGCAAGAGGATATGAAGTTATTTTGAAATTGTGTTGTAATGACTTTCAAATTCCTAGAAAACAGCTGGTCATGGTGGTGCACACCTTTAATCCCAGCACTCAGGAGGCAGAGGCAGGCGCATCTCTGAGTTCAAGGCCAGCCTGATCTACAGAGTGAGTTCCAGGACAGCTAGAGTTATCACACAGAGGAACCCTGTCTTGAAAAAACAAAACAAGCAAGCAAGCAAGCAAACAAACAAACAAACAAACTCCTGAAAAATGTCCCTTTCAGGATTCAAAATCAAATTCCTGTGAATGGATTCAGACACAGTCCTTTTAAAGCCGAAGCCTCAGTTTATTCTGGGAAAGATCAAAGTATCCAGTAAATAAAGTCAGCAACACATCACAGAATCATTAACAGTCAGAAACTTCATCTTAGAAAATGGATGGCCTGATTTAACTATGGTAGAGTTTTAGTCACAATTATAGAACATTTAGCCAGATAATCTGTCAAAAGTGTTTATCATGCATCTATATTTTCCCCAGGATCAGGTTAGGGATAAAGCAGTCCTCACTGGGTCACATTCTGATAAGAAAAACACATTAAGCACATAATTACCAGTGTGGTGGGAACAATGCAGAGTAACCTTGTCTTAATTTACAGAGAAAAGGGAAGAAATGACTTACAGTGATGCTAAAGTCCTTAAAAATATACATAAGTATGATGTCGCTATCAGGTGCACAACAGAAATGGGTCTACTTCTTTAAATGTGGGGTATCTCTAACTTCACACACAAATCCATATGCAGTTTTCTATCCCAAAATGAGAACAAATAAAAGGAGACTGTTCAAGTTTTTCTCTATTTGGCAGTTTCAATAATTTTCTAAAAATAAGCAGGGCCTTCATTATGCAGTGAGCAGATATGTCCAGTTAACCTGCATTAAATATGAACTTCTTGGCGGTGGGTGAGGGCACAGCCCATGCAAGCTGGTGCGCACTGCTTCTTGGATTGCCTCCTGGCCCAGGACCACTTAGTATAATATATCTGATTACATCTTCTCAAATACACCCGAGGCAAGCCTACTCAACCAATACCTGACTTTTTCTAAAGTAAATGAATTGTCAGTGTGCTGAAAGCAGGCAGCTTTCGCCTCATACAGAGTGATTATTATTCCAGACAGAAATGTGCTTACCCAGCACCGTAGATCCCTCCTTTCTCCCCCCAGTTTCCCACTTTTGCTAGCACGGTTTTCTTATTTCAGTATTTGTCTGGTATCTACCAACTCAATATATACTTAGGATCGGGCTGAATGGGGCAGAGGTGGAGTAACTTGGAAGCTGCTGTCAGGGTGAGTTCTGGTGAGAGAGATGGGGGGCACAAAAGGGCAGAAGTGATGGGAAGTGTTCTCTGGCGCTGTGACTTGTACCAGTCTGTCTATCTGAGGAGACTCCAGAGAGCTCGCTGGCAGCATCCCCAGATCATGACAGTCCTGTGGCTGAGTGAGGAGAGGCATTGTTTGGTCCCTTTATCCCCTGTAGTGCGGTCTTCAAGGTCCCCACACTTTTGAAAGAGAGCAGGACTCACATCAAAAGAGATGGTGTGTTGACATTCGGATCTAGAGACATCAGGTTTTCATTCTCTAAATGCTTTGCCTCAAATGTGTAAGGATGAGGGTATGTCCGTGCATACATTTATTGAAGACATTTAGTCTGAGAGGGACATCTGTAGTTCTTGGGAGTGGCATGCTGTCACTTTCTCATGTTTGTGTCCCCAGGGCCCAACTCCAGAGCTTCTCTTTCTTTTTTCTAAATTTTGGTGTGTGTATGTATGTGTGTTGTATACATGTGTGAGTATGTACACGTGTGTATACAGATGCACATGTAGAGGCCATAGGTCAAAGTTCAGTATCATCTTCCTCTATTACTCTCCATCTTGTGTTCTGAGACAGGGGCTCTCACTGAACCAAACCTGGAGTGCACAGACTTTGTTAGGCTGGTGGCCCATGAGCTTCAAGGATCCACCTGTCTCTGTCTCTGCAGACACCCTCACCACACTAGCTTTTTATGGCATGCTGAGGATCCAAACTCAGGCCCTTAATTCGCATAGCAAGTACTTTACCTGTTGAACCATCTTCTGAGCCCTGAGAGCTCTTAGCCAAGTTGTGCAGAAAAACAAAGGCAAATCTGCTCTCAACACCACTTCTCTCACTTGGTCTGAAGCAGTTGATCTCCCTTGGGATGGAGATGTTGGTAGCTTCAAGAATGAGCTGCCATCCCCCATCCATGTGAGAGCTCTGCAGGCAAGTGCTGGAATGACCAAGGTCCTACTCCATGTGGCTTCTCCAGTATCCCCAGAGAGGAGCAGGATGGGGGGTGAGGCAGAGGCTTTCACTCTTCTACTTCTGCTGCTCACTTTCCCTGTTTCCCCTGCTTTGTGTGAGTGAGTTGTTGTTTGTGGAATTTTACAATTAAGCATTTGGTTTCTTTGTTCACTGTGTTTATATCTCTGAATTCTCTGAAAACTTTTAATGGTCATTCTTTATCAATACGATGGAGTTCCCGACCTCCTCCTACACTAAATGGAACTTTAAAAGTCTTTTCTGTCTCCCCTTTTTGCTATGGTGTTCACTCTGCCCCTGCTTTGATACTCTTCCATTTCAAAGATTGTCTCTGACTAGCCATGCACTCATGGAACACTCAGGGTTAAGCTAACCAGGTGAAGTTGATCCTTTACCCTGGTTCTCTTTGGAGCATTGTAGACACGCTTCTCTTACCATCCAGATGCCTTACTGACACAATCCTCAAATGGTTTCCAGGCCATATTTTATCCCGTTTTTGAATATATGGAAGCATCCTTGTTTGCTGATGAAAAGAAGCACTGAAGGAATGCTAAACCATCCCGGACATAGCCTCATGTTGTCTTTTGAGAGACAGGGGCTCATGGAGCCTGGGTTGACTTTGAACTCTTGGCCATCCTGCTACCTCAGTCTCTTCCCAAGTTACAGGAGTACATCTCTGACTTTAGACCTAGACTGCTTGGTTTTAAAATCTGCCAGTTAGTACTTGTGGCTCACATGGATCACCCAGGAAATGGGACATAAGGATGCCTACCACATCCATGTGTCAGCAAGTGGGACCAGATCTGCAGGGCTCTGGGCAGAGAGAATATGTATCACAATGCTGGGCACAGAGCTCACCCACTAAATCTTGACTTGGATTTGCTATGTTTTTCCAATAAATTTCTAATAGATTTTCTATAAACACAGACATTTTTAAGTGTCATACTATTTTTATCTTGTTCCTCCTTTTCTTGTTGTTCCGGAACTTTCTCCAATGTTATGTTCTACTAATCTGAGCCTCAAAATACCTCTTCTCTAATTAATCTCCTTAAAGTTTTCAAAGGAAAATAATGTTTTCAGTTCTGTAATTGACTCAACATTAGCATGCTGACGTCTGTCTACAGCTACCATCTGTCCTGCCTCCATGGCAGCTGCCGCTGCTTGCTCTTTTTCTGGCTATTGGGATTGTTGGTGATGGTGACACTGTTATCCACTAACTTTATCCAATAAGAAGCTGCAGTTCCAGCAGGCGAGGGGCATCCAGTGGTCCTTGTCATAAAGGTCATCTAATTATCCAGCCAAGGACCTATGAGGCCACTTTGAAGACACCAGGAAGAAACCTTTTTCTCCACATCCCCAGGTCCCAGCTTTGCAAAGCAGGAAACTCTCTACCTGCCTGTTCTGGAGCCTGGCAGGATCCTCAGCCTCACTTGATCCAAAGAGCCCTGGTTCTCCACCTCCTACAGAGGTCACCGGGTGTTTGAGTCCCGGTCCCCACCCCCCAACCCCCCTCAGCCCCTAGTCCCAAGGTCACTGGGTGTCTGAGCCCTAGTTCTCCCCACAAAGTCACTTGGTGTCTGAGTCCTAGGTCTCCCCTCAAGGTTACTATATGTCTAAGCCCCAGTTCTCCCCACAAGGTCACTGGGTGTTCATGTTGTAAGAGTCTGAGGCCATTACCCACAGCTATCAGTCCAGGATCCTAAGCACAGCTTGGACACAGATGGGAAAAGTCCCACCAGTTTTCATAACGTCACACAAAGTGTTCATGTAGAAGCACTGTTTATGACTTGAGTCATGGGTTAGAGGGAAGACCTGAACAAATGGAAAGTAAATAATCGTATTCTTTGCTAAATCACTCACAGGTCAGATATGTCAAAAGGTCACTAGAACTTCCTAACTGACGAGAAGACATCTTTCCAATGGTTTCTCTCAAGGTTGGATGAGCAGACAACTGAGGGAGAGGACTCTTCCATGGAGCTGCCTGCAACTTGGGCAGAGATGTCCCACAGATGTGGTGCTTGTAAATCATGTCCCGTGCTCAGGGAGAAGATGTAGCTGGCTGAGAGTTACCCATGCTCCTTTGAGTAACCCCAAGAAACTCACTGGTTCACCCAGACAAACTTGCAGAATCATTTCTTGAGTCTACCATTGGTGTCCTATCAGGGACAAACAGACATTTGCTCCCATCTTCCAAGGAAAAGTCACACACACAAATGACAATTCAATATTATGCTTGCAAAGACTGACAACTCAGGCCCTCACTCAAACCTTCCATTTTATGCTCATGTGATCTCAAAAATCTCTTTCTAAATACTCATAGAATAGTTTAAATTAATTATTTTACCACATACTTTCTAGGTCACTTCCAAGGGCTACAACCATATTTAAGTTTAAAATGATTAGCGTCTGAAACATGAAGTTAAATGGTACTTCAAAGCTACTTAAATATTTGCTAGTAAAATAGTTAAGAAGGAAAGGAAAGGAGGAGGAAGAGAGGCAGGCATGAGAAAAAACAAGATCATAATTTATTGTCTGAAGAAAAAAAAATCTGTTCAGATTCACTTAAACAATTAGTTGATTTTGATTTTGTGGCAAGGTCCCATCTGTATTCCAGGTTGACCTGGAATTCACTACATCCCAAGGCTAGCCACCTACTCACAGCACTTCTCCAGCCCCAGCCTCCAAAGGACAGGATTCTGGGCATACACCACCACACCCACCTATTCATTTTAAATAATCATAAGCTAGCTTACTAATCCTAAGCACATAGCTTCATAGAATAGACAGGCTGGGAGAGAGCTCTGCTCTTAAAACTGTGGAGAGTCATTTCCTTTTTGTAGTTTTCATTTTCCTCATTGGTAGGATGTAGATCAGTGGTTCTCAACCTGTGGGTCATGACCCATGTGGAGGCACCTGCATATCAGATATGTACAATTCATAATAATAGCAAAATTGCAGTTATGAAGTAGCAATGGAACAATTTTATGGCTGGGAGTCATCACAACATGAGGACCTGTAGGAAAGGGCCGCAGCATTAGGAAGGTTGAGAACCATTGCTGTAGAGAACAACCTCTGCTGAATACCTTGTGAGTTTCAGATGAGGATTCTCCATGAACATCTGTGTCCTTACCCCAGGGCCCGGCACCCACCTGGAATTCTCAAAAGTGTTCACCATCATGGCTAGTAATTTACCTGGGGATTGGAAAGAAAATATGGACGGCCATTTTTCAGCTGAAGGGCAAAATACTCTTCCTGGTTGTCAGGGGACACTGCGAGGATGATCAGCCCTTCAGGCATCCTTGTCCGGAAGCTGGCCTTGATGCCTGGAGATGTAAGTTGCATCGGTAAGTCACGGCTGTAGTTTTGTTGATTCTTTCTGATAAATGTACATTTACTTTCATTATTATTTATGATGCAGCGAATACAGTCAGGAAATTATACACAGCAATGTGCTGGGATGGCCCCAGTCAATGGGTTTAAATATATCCCATGTTAAAGGCTAAGTAGCACTTGGAAATTATGTTACCCTCGTGTTAATCAATATAAAATGAACTCTAAATATGTGCAAAAAATCATCCACCTGAAAAGACATGATGTCAAACCCAAAATTGGATACTTAATAGTATCAGTTTGAAAATATTATCAGAGGGTCCTAAAAGTAAATGACTTTTTGACAGAAAGGAAAAACTCCAAGGGCCTTATTTAAATACCTATGAAAATGAAAGAATCGGTTCAGCAATAGATGTTAAAACAAAAAGACCTAGATAAGCTGGCTTCTTGGAGCTGATTGAGTCAGCAAACAGTGGTAGCCTTCAGAATTGCAGTCTTTACTGACCCTGCAGATCACATACACACCATTCAATACTCTAATCTCATAGGACTTCCTGGCTCAGGTGATGGGAGCAATTTGCAATGTTCCTCTCTCAGACATTGCTAGGACCCATCTACCCCATCTCCAGTCTTGGGATCCCCCCACCTACACAGCACATATGGTAGAAATCTTCCTGTATAGAGGGTGTCTAGCTGAAGGTGCTGAAGCTGGCGGTCAGGGCTAAGTACCACGGTCTCATTGGAAATACAAAATTAACAGAGCAGACTGTGAGAATAAAGAGATCAACAACACACCTGAAAATCAAACAAAAGCTAAAACACAATAATAAATAATGAATGAATTCTGATTTAAGCAGTAATACACAATAGGCCAGGATTATAACCACTTGAAAAACTCTCCCTTTAGGCTGGGCTAATAACTGAAGAACCTACAGGGATGGATAAATTTCATTCTGTTGCTATGACAAACACTAAACACCATGGCCAAAAGTAACTCCAGTGTGTGTGGGGTGTGTTGGGGGGGAGCATTTGTTTGAATTTATAGTTTCAATCCATTATTGAGGGATTTCAGGGTAGGAACTCAAGCAGGAACAGGGGTTTAGAGCAGAGACCTTGGAGGAGGTGCTTCTGGCTCACCCCAAGGTTCATGTGAGGCTAGCTTTCTGGTACAGCCCAGGACCACCTGCCCAGGGATTGGTGCCACCCACAGTGGGCTGGGTCCTCTGACATCAATTAATAGTCAAGGCCATCTTGTCTACCACCTCTGGATATGTTCACAGGACAATCCAATCTGGCAAACACCTTTCTCAGATGACACATTCTAGGCTGTGTCAAGTTGACTCAGCTTTGGTTCAGTGGTAAGGACCTCAGGACCCATTCCTGGTCCATCTTCCCACTCCATTCTCTAACACAGTACATAGATGTATTTTATAAGTATATTGAGATTTGAGGTGAAAAGAAGGGAGATGGGAGGTTCAGCCTGACCACTAGGTTTTGATCTTCTCTTTGCTCTCAAATGCTATGACTGAAATTATGGCTTTCAAGCTAAATAGCTCAAGGGCATTAAATAAAAATAGCTGTAATTCAGGACATGAAGGGTACACTGCTCCCTGGCAGGATGGCATCTCCAGAGCACCAGCAGAGACGATGGAAGTCAGGGTTTGAGTGAGGGAAGAGGAAAACAGTTATCCAATCTGAGTACACTGTTGTCTGTAATTTGAGAAATCTGAGGAATGAAAAATATCCAAGGATTATGGGAATATGTAAATACTTAAGATGCATTTGGGAATATTTTACTTTTTACACGCCATTCAAAGAGTGTACAAATGCATGTGTTTCTCAAAACAATAATTGGCAAGCCTTCTAGAACAAAGAAATGTCTTTTAGACCAACAAATATCTGAAGCTGTATCGAGAGGAAGTGTCTCCCATGAAGGGAAAATGAAGTACAATAAAGGATGTCTTGATTTGATGGTGTCACTACTCTTTCTCAGTCTTGACGTCTTTTTCCTCTGTGTTTTCCAAGATGAATAGAAAATGATTTTCTTTTTCCTAGACCCTAGGAGGAAAATGAAAACTTACAATTTTATTGAAGCATGTTCTTAATAATTAGATTACTATAGCTATCCATATAGATAAATCCTAGCATTTGAATCAAATGCTTACTTTGTATAATCAATTATTTAAATGAACCAAACTCACAAATAAATATATGTAAATATAAACATAATAATAGTTTGATGGATGTATGAAATAAAGAAAATGTTATTGAATTTACAATGAGATAGAATGGTTAAATGCACAATTATTCAAAATAATTAACACCCTCTTTTCCCCAAAGGAAGCCACATATTTAGATTCCCAAGCGCTGACTTAGGCTCAGCCATGTGACTGTCATTGGCCAAAGGAATGAAAGCAGATATGAGGCTCTTTGTGGGGGCAGCGCCTCTCTCCCCTCACTCCCTTCTGCCTCACACACATGTTTCCATCTTGGGTCCAGGAGGAAGAAAACTTGTGGACCACAGCCAAACAAGTATCACAACAGCCTCATTGTAGACGATTGTGTGAAGCTATGGTACAGCTCAAAGAGGTAGCAGAGTGAATAGCAGCTTTCTCCTTCCTAAAATGGGGATCTGTATTTTTTTAAGACAAGACAAAGAAGAAAAGAACTAAATTTCATTATTTGCATTTAGAGACAAGAGAAATAGTAGTGTGCTTGTGTTGTTTCTAAACTTACACATTCATTTGAGAAATATTTAAGGTACCAAAATTCAGTGGCTAGTGGGACAAGTATTAGCAACACACACACACACACACACACACACACACACACACACACACACACACTATAACAAGAAAGAAAAATATATGAAATAAAACACAGTATGTATAAGACTAGACAAATGCCAAATTCATAAACAAGTAAATGGAGGATAAATTCCAACTCTGATGAGGGCCAGCACTACACTTATCTGTGGATACAAGGGCAGACATTTAGAATACAGTTGGGAATCATACCACTTAAGGAGTATGGCAACAGTAGATTAACCTCAAGGGTCCATGACTTCACCAGCCACAGGTGTTGGCTAGATTTGCAGTGCCAAGCATGGATTCCCTCTTATTGAGAGGAACTTAAGTTCAATTAGATGGCTGTGGGTTACTCCTATCAGGAGTCTTACCCCAGTTAATCATCTATAATGCAACTCTGCACCTAAGGAGACATCACAGAAGTCGGGACAGAAAGTCTGGAAGTGCCAGAGGACAGGATGTCTGCTATGAGACAGTGTCTTCCAAGCATGCCAGGGAGCTGCATGCATGAAATTTTAATAACAGATCTGCACCATGAAGTATACACTTCACTTCCTGTTGCCTGTGGGTTAAGATGTAGAACTCTCAGCTCCTTCTCCAGCACCATGTCTGCCGGCACGCTGCCATGTCCCGCCATGATGATATTAATGGACTAAACCTCTGAAACTGTAAGCCACCCCAATTAAATGTTCATAAAAGTTGTGGTCATGGTACCTCTTCACAGAAATAGAAACCCTAACTAACTAAGACAATGCTCATTTCTAGACTTTTCTATATGCTATACTACAATAGAAAATTCAACCAAGAACAAATGCTGAATAGATTTGTAAGTTACAACCCCAAAGAAATTGTAGAAATAGGAAGCTTTATATTCACATCTTTTCCAGGAGAATGTTTGTTCCTCCACACTCTGATTGAAAATAGGTATTTCAAAACACAAAAATTTAATGTTGTTTTTGTCTGGTTGTTGTATTATTGGTGATGGAAAAACATTCAAATAAATTAACCATTGGTATTCAGTATTTTTAAAATTATACATGCATTTCTTCGCCCAGTTTCAAATCTCTGTGGCCATTTCTGTATAATATAGAGAGCCTGTTGTACAGTATGTGTTGTCAAAGATAGTACTGCAAAGTACTATCCTCTTTGTCCTAGAATGTGGAAATCTCTCTCACAGCTGGTCTCCATCATTTTACACACACACACACACACACACACACACACACACACACACACACACACATTCACACTAAGTACATGCACACATTCACCCTCACATAGCATATATACATATTCACACTCACATACACAGCACACACATTTATACACACACGCATTCATACCTTCAAGCACATTCATACTTATATACATACAGCACACACACATTCACATAGCACACACATATTTACACACACAGAGCACAAACACATTCACACTCATACACACATTCACACATATAACACAAATATACATTCACACTTACATACATTCAGATTCACACATACATTCACACTCACATATAGAACACACACACTCATGAACTCACACACACAGCACACTCACATTAACACACACATTCACACTCACATACATAGCACATACATTTATATTCACATACATATTTACACTCACGTGCACAGCAAACACACATTTACACTCATACTCACAGCATACACATATTCACACACACAGCACACACATTCACACTTACATACACACAGCACACACACACACTTACATATCACACACACTTCATACTCATACACATTCATACCCCACATACAATCACACTAATGCAATAACCACAAATACATTCACATACACAGCACACAAACATTCACAACCATACACATTCACACTCACTTGATAACCACAAACACATTCATACACACAGCACACAAACATTAACACTCACACACATTCACACTCATATACATTTACACTCACACAATAACCACAAACACTTTCACACACAGCACACACACACACACACACATTCACACTCAAACACATTCACACCCATACACATTCACTCACACACCCCCATATGCACAGTACACATTCACTTTATTCTTTTTATAAAATAACAGAGTGACCCACCAGAAGAATTCCAGTCCCATCACTGCCTCTTCCTAGTGCTGGGCCAAGGCTAAGAGTCTTACTCTAAAGGCTCCATTGTGTCTTGT